ATGTGCAATTGGTTTGGTACACGTCCGCGAACTTTTTATGATACCGGGATTAAAAAATTTCCAGACTATTAAAAGAAATGTATAGATAAGATGGGGGACTATGTAGAAAAATAAGAAAAATATAATTTAGAATTGATTTTAAAAAATATATATGGTTTTTTTGCAAAAGGCTCGTTTATATTTGATTCACCCTCGTATTTATTTGAACACGTTAAAAATGCATGTTGTTTACTTGGACACATTATTGTGAATAAATAAGTTTGATGCCTTACATAATAAATACATTTGATGTCTTGTAACACTAGTCTAAATTAACATTTTTTTCTTGCTGTAGGATAATTCGAAAATGCCAATCTTAAGCTTTAAGAAGCATTATATAATATTTGGCAGTCCTACCGATATTACGTCGAAAAACAGTACGGAACACGACGTGGTTCGAAGAGGAACATTTGAGGTACTATATCCTTTTCACTTTTTAATTAAAGAAAAACCTTACTCAGGCTACTGAAATTATTTATTTCGCTTGGGTAAAGATGTTGCGACACATAAGACTTGTAAAAAGTGGTTCCAGAAGTTCCGAGTAAGCAATTTCGATCTTTCTGATTGAGAACGCAGTAGAATGCCGAAAAAGTGGAAGACGAGGAATTGGAGTTAGTAAACGTTCTTGTCAGATGCAACAGGAACTTGCTAAAGAATTTGGCATAACTCAATCAGCTATTTTCTTACGCTTAAAGAAGCTTGAAAGAGTTTTAAAGGCAAACGGGGTTCTTCATATGGTCACCTCGGAAAACAAAATGAGACGCTGTAATATGATAATTTTTCTGCTGCCACGATTCAAACAAAAGGATTTTTTTCATAAAATTATGACTGACGATAAAAAATGAGTATTGTAAGACAATCCCAAAAGACGCAAATCGTGGGTTCATCCGGGTAACTTCAATAAATATTACGAAATCAAATGTTTACACTAGAAACGCATTACGAGGGCAAGGTGAAAAGTTCTCGGCCTGACCCAGAAATGGCATTCCAATCGGCGAAAGTTTACGTTTCCTGCCTGCGCGCACATATCATTAGTTCGTATGACAAACTTCAACTTATTCGCTCAAGTAGTTTGTGTAAACGAGTCTTTGCAGTACACGTCTTGCGCGTGTTTCGTTAAAATGGATAAATTTGAATATCGTGCGGTCATAAAATTCTTCGTTTTGGATGGGTTAACCCCTAAGGAAATTCATCCGAAGTTGACAAAAGTTTACGGGAACTCTGCTCCTTCAATCTCAACCGTTAAAAAGTGGGCAGCTGAATTTAAACGTGGTCGCACGTCGCTCAAAGATGACCCTCGTAAAGGACGGCCAAAAACTGCAACCACACCGGAAACTATCGAAAAGGTGCACAATATCGTGTTGGACGATAGGCGACTAAAGGTGTGTGAGATAGCTGAGGCCGTGGGCATATCGGAAGAAAAGGTACGAAACATCTTGCACGAAGAATTAGGTATGCGAAAGCTCTGTGCAAGATGGGTGCCGCATTTGCTGAATGCGGATCAAAAGCAAATGCGCAAACGACATTC